CATTCTGGGAAATTCAGTCAGTTATGCTGACATTCCGTTGTCCAGCAACACATCAATACTGTACTGTTGGAGAGGCGGGGCGAATCCCTACTCAGTATGGACTGAGCTTTTTTGGTATGCTTTTTGATCTGCGGAATTGGGGCCTGCATGACTAGCGTGGATTGCTTGTGTAAAACTCAGAATCATTGTCCTCACCAAACTCTATAGGAGTTTCTCTAGAAGTTTTCTCTTGATATGAAGGGATGAAGAGACAGTCGTTATATTTCCGAAGATTTACTTGTTTTCGCGCAGACGTTGGGGCATGTTCGAGGAAGTGTGGCGGAGGCTGGGTTCGACGCGACAACCTGCCCGTTTTCCATCAGTTGTTGTCGCTTGCCCTGCTTCAGCATTTAATGGGGAACGAGCTAGCGCCGCTACAAGCGCAGCTCCTGACATGCTTCAGCGTCCGTAGCGAAAATAACCGTACACCCTCTTGAAGAGTAGAAGCTATGGACCAAAAAAGACTGGAAAACCAACAGAGGGTTTTTTTAATTTTCTGCCACAAACAGAAATGGCCTTGTAATGAGATTTCCAGTGAGAACATCATGTACGGTCTGGACAAGTGTTCCCAAGAAGAAATGGAACATGCAGCACGTCTGGCTAATATTCACGATTTTATCGTTAGCCTTCCTGAGGTCAGTGGCAATGTCTACCAAAGCTCCGAAAAGCATTCTTGACATAGTCTGTATCACGGGTCCCAGAGACGACCTGTCCATAAACCTCGTTGTGAGGACGGTATCGGTGGACACTTGCAAGTTTGAACAGAGAGCTAGAGATCAGCCTACTTGGGAGAGAACGTCGGCGTGCAGGGAATAGTTTGGGGCACCAATGACAGCAATCTGCCTTTACCGGTAACTTTCAGAGACACCGCGTTCACAACTGAGCCAGCAGACACACTCTGGGCTGCGTGGTGTGGACTCCATTTTAAAGGCAGTTGTTGCAATAATTTGGTACTCGGCCTAAAATGCTAGCAGGGCGCTATGTAGTGGGAAAATGGCGAAAAAACGAAGTGAAACGGTCAAAAACCTGCGAAGAAAAGCCTTCGTTCTTAATGACTCAAAAAGCAATTTCGGACGAGTTTCCCGTAGGCATCTTGCCAATAACCGCTAGAGGTACTGGCTGCACATATGTTCTATATCCATGCAGCACCGCGGCCGCTTCATATCAATCCCTTCGCTTCATATTTTACTTCGCAAATGAAGCAATACGAGCATCAGGTACGGTCGTCCATTTGTGGGCGGGCGGGCGCGGTGGGCGTTCGGGTCGGTATGTTGTAGCTTGATAGGGCCTTATAAGGTACCTTCCTTGGAAAAGGCGCTACGCAGCGCCTGCTCAGGGTCGCGGAATTCCGTCCTGCCAGGCGTATTAATCCTACTCGTCTTAGGGTTTATCGTGCCAACTGCCTTTAAGCTAGAAACACAGAAAAAATTTCCCGATTTTAGCGTCAGCAGGCGAAACATCGTGAAAGCCTTGGTATTCGACTATTCTAGAGCTACAGTACGGTGGTCGGAGCAAAAGGTGGACTGCTGTCAGGTGGACAAAAGCAGCGTATCGCCATTGCTCGTGCTATCGTCAGAGATCCGAAGATACTGCTGCTCGACGAGGCTACTAGTGCCCTAGATACAGAAAGCGAAAAGGTGTGCTCGAGTTACTGATTGAGAAGAATATATACACTCACCTCAATGGATCCTGGTCCTTGTGTGAAATGGATGGGCCAGCAGCTGCAGTATCACGCCACCTTCTCCGCTCAGAATTCCACGAGAACGAGGCTGGAGGGTAATGATATCTAGGTGTTTGCTCCATACTCCGTCTATCGCTGCCGCGCGGCCAGCCACATGCGCACTGGTAGCCAAAACGCGCTACGAATCTGCGCTGTCTCACTGGTTGTTCTCTAGCGCTGAGTATGTGTCTCGCCGTGGGACCTTTTTATCTGCGCAAGTGCTGTGCCTTGGTGATAGCGTGGGCGGAGTGTGGAGCCTCTAGCCCAGTTTTCCTTGGCTGGAGAAAGTGGCATGCTCCTGCAACTGCAGACCCATTCAACTCACATAAGGATCCACGGAGTACAGTTTGTCTTCGAGGCGCGGTCACTGTTCCGTGGAACTGAAACCACATGGAGGAAACTGCCTAACTCGTACAACACTGTAACATTCAGGTGGTGCAAGAAGCCTTGGATCGAGCACGACAAGGAAGAACTTGCTTAGTTATAGCTCATCGGTTATCTACCATACAGGTATACCACTGTAGAATTACCTCACTTTTTTCTTCACAAGCAGCTCATCCGTCGCCAGATAAATTTTTGCGGAATTTTTTTCCAGAATGCCGATCTTATTGTTGTGTGTCGTGATGGAAGAGTGGCCGAACATGGAACACATCAAGCATTACTGGCCAGGAAGGGGATCTACTACAAGCTCGTCGAGAGACAAAATCGCTAAAGTACAAGTCTCTGTCTTATAGAGACAGACAAGTTGTTCATACAGTACAAATAAATATTTATTAGTTCTTTCGCAACAAAAACTTTTGCCCAATCCAATGGTTTGTAACCATTGTGCGAATAATGCTATAGTGCCCAAAAAAGCGCAGCTTCCCATCGCCGCACGATTCCTGGTGGTTCTGACGGTCTGATTGAGCGGCGACGCGGCTTCCGTTTGATATCGAAGATGTTTTTTTTCAATATATTTGCTTCCCTTGGATTCTATTGGTCATGCTAGATCGGCTTCTGTCCGCGCCTTCCGTCCTTCCGCGTTTGACTGGTACTGCGTGGGAGAAAAAAAAACACTGCCTCGCACCTTTGCCATCCACGCACGTCATATTATAGGCCAGATCGGCAGATTCCACAAGCGAACTGTAAAGTTAACCGCCATCTAAAAAGAGATTCTTCAACTATTACCACCCACTGTGGGTTAAAACTGTTTCAGTCAAAGAACATCCACGAGCAAAATTGACGGATTCAATCAACAAAAACTCACCTTTTGTTGGAATCATCGCGAATCATCCGTCTCAGCGATTTCTCTAGCTTTATGCACTTAATCATTCGTGGACAGCAGAGCCGCTCTAGTAAACAGTTTACAAGCGTAAGCTTTTTTTTTCGCAGAATCATTCGGTGGAAGCAGAGCCGGTCTAGTAAACAGTTTACCAAGCGTAGTTTTGAGAGGGAGCCCAGCTCTGGTCCTTCGTGGACTACCGCCCCTCCAAGCCAAACCACTATGAAGTTCCTCTTGAAGGACAAAAAAAAAAACACTGATTTGTACATCACTTGCCGCACGTAGTGAATTTCCTTATGCCTTTCCCATATTCGAACCTCTGATGATTCTTAAAAAGAAGTACATTCACTCTATGGTTCCTGCGTCCTTGCCGTGGCGCCGGGCGAGAATGGGCCCGCGAGTCGCACAAGTGGACACTTTCCTGGTGCGAAACGCACGGTGAACTGGCTGGAAGGTTGTGACCACCCCGAGTCCCGCTCCACCTTCGCTCGGCTGCAGCACGACCAAACACACGCCTAACCTCGTCATCCGGGCAGTTGATTAGGGCGGTCGTCAACGGGCCGCAGCGCGTGCCAGGAACTATTTGCTTTTCCAGGCTAATTTAGTCATTTTCCACCTTGTGAAGATAAGGAGCTGCTAATCTGGGAAAAAGTAGCCAAAACAGTGAAAAGTTGGAAAAAATGACTAAATTAGCCTGGAAAAAGCAAATAGTTCCTGGCACGCGCTGCGGCCCGTTGACGACCGCCCTAATCAACTGCCCGGATGACGAGGGTATGCCTGACCACAGCCAAACGCGCTTGTCTACGACCTATTCACTATACTGCCAGCTCTAAAACCATGAGTGCGTGCTTCGCTGCAGGACCTTGACATCGACGCAAACGCCACCTTGAGAATAGCGTGGGGGGAGTGTGGAGAGGGCATTCGGGTGTCACTACCTTACAACCCTGTTCTTAGTCTTTTTTGAGCGGAGAAAATGGTATGATACTGCAGACTTGCCAATCCATTTCTTCCTCGGCAGTATGACAAGGATCGTCCTTGAAGTGGTGGGTGTACAGGCTGCCTTTGGTGTAATTGGGGGCACTGTGCCTTTCCTACGCGTGAGGGCGATTCCCGCTAATGAGTGCCTTTTTGTTATCAGACCAACCACTTAATCTCATGGATGTAATAACTGAACGCTTTCGCTCATGGAAGACGGTAATAATTATGGGTTAGTTGCACTTATGAGATGCGTTACGCTCTCCATTCCTTGTAAAAATGCGGCAGCAACTCAAAAAAAAAATATTTCCTTTCATTCTTATCTCCACTGAACAGACGCACTGGTGCACCTCAATCTTCAGTTGTGGGTATCTCTGATCGCCTGAGGATTTCGTTCAATGGTTGGGAGGTTTTAAATGCTGTTTCATGACTCAATGAATACTACAACATGAATCCGAAGTTCTATTGAGTCTATCCCACCACCTGCCCTACAGATTACCGACAAGGCCGACTCCGAAAAGTTACGCTCAGCAGTCGAAACCCTGACCCACATTCAAAAAACTTATCGAACAGCATGATCGCGAATGGAAACTCTTTCTCTCGGCGAAAGGTGCAGTCTTCCCATTGAGCACGTTGATTAGGACAGAAGAAAAATTCAATTTATCAAACGATTAATCAGTTAGTCAATCAAACCGATACACCGGACACGTACATAAAAAGGTAGCAAGCAAAAAAAAGCAACAAGACATCTATGTAATGGAAACTCGTGCATTAACAAGTTAATTCTCTAGGAAATGGAAACTCATTGAAAAATATCTCATAGGTGGGCGACTGGTTTGGCTAGTCACTGGGGTGCGGCAGTAGCAATGACTCCACAAGCAACACGGGCGCCAGCATTTCCCGTCTTGAGAGACTCTTCTTTCTGCTCGCCTACTCCTTTACCTTAAGAAGAATCAGCCTTTATCATGGAACTTGTGCACCTTTCGTGCCCTTATTTATCCCATGAAGAAAACATAAATGATACTGGAACCTTACCTAGATCATCGATACCAGCATGAACTACAAGAGAACGTCCCACAACTGTATGCTCTCCATGGATTTTCACCAGATGATCTTTGATCTCGAAATGTGCTACACCATCAGATCCAGCTGTAAGGTTTCCTAGATCGCCAACATGGCGAACCTCGTCCTGGAAATATAGAATCTTTGAAAAACCATGAAACGATCCATTCCACTGTGATAACCAGGGCACGCCGTACGCTGAAAGGCAAAAAAGTGGAGGGGAAGGGTCGTATCTGCGTTTGCGGAAAATGTCTTTGGCTGCTGATTGACTTCCTCGTTTTCTTTCTATTTGAAGAACTATACATATAGCCCCCTCCTCATTCTAAGGCAGTTTTGGGAGGAGTGGGAGGGTGCGTATCAGAGTGGAAAATTTGAGGGGGTAAATTTTGCAGAATTTCCTCAACCCGGCCTGGTGATAACTCTTTTCTTTATCCAGGCAATTCGCGTGGCGAAAGTAATCATTTGAACTCTGAGCTATTCCCAAAACGTTTGGCTCAACCACGACTAGAACCTGAGCGCCTTATTTAAGACTCACGTTTACGCCTTATTTATTGAGCGCCTTATTTAAGACTCACGTTTACCTGAAGCGTGCTAATTTAACCTGACATTAAAATATTCTTCTGGGGTATAAGATGCAGTAATGCAAGGTCGTATGATAAAAGAGTTGTACGCGTGCGCAAAGTTAGCGCAATAGTTACAAATAGAGGGCATGACGCGCTGTAACAAGCAACATGTACAGCGCTTCAGTCCTGTGGACGCGAACGCAGCTACAGATGGGAATCGATCGATTCTCGACTGTGCTGCTTTGCGTCTATACGGTTGCAATTGTAGCGCGTTACAGCACCTAAGCTGCGCGTCGATGCGCGTCACCGCGAAGTCTGGACGCTTCGGAAGCAACAATTTTTGCATAACTTTGCACCCTTTATTTTATAACTGGTTTTCAAAGACCTTTTATCCAAAATAGGTCATTTACGTAGATAACGAAAGCACGCGGAATGAAAAATAGAAAAATCGCGTTTACCCTGCGTGCTTTACGAAATAATCACGGTGGTCCAGGAGAGGTCCTCATACCCACAAAGAAAGGTCAATACATTTCTTGAACTTAGCCACCCTTCTCTGAGGACCCTCCCTTACTAATAAGTAAACCGATGGTGGTTCGAATAATAACATGTAGGGGATAAATAAGAGTATTCTGCGCGCTTTGAGCGCCCATTGTCACCAAAAACAAGTAGGTTGAAACGAAGGAAAGCAAGTACCGTTGGTCCTCCATGAGTCTTGCCGAACGGATTGAAGTGTGGTCCAGCAGAAGTGCAACCGTTAGTGGAATCGCCGTACTGATGGACGTGGAATCCATGAAGACCAGGCGTCAGACCCTTGATTTCACCCTTGATCACACATGGGTCGGACTCTTTGTCCTAAAAGTTTTTGTGTAAATCTAACAGGTACACCCTTTTATATGCATTAACTAAGCTTATTATTCATAATGACAATAAATTTAGCTTAATGACCTGGCTGAACCACACCGTACCCGTCACTCCGGGGTCACCTCGTAGTACGGCTACTGCACGATTGCTCATCCTTTGGGCTGCGTCGACCTAAAGTTAGAAATGATACTTTGATGCGAGTGGAAATGATGAACCTTATGCATGCGTAACACAGACTATAAAAATGACTCTCTGATAAGCTGTCAAAGAACATAAGAGACTGATCGAGAATCTCAGGACTAGAGTTTGGAAGTGATGGCAACAGAGAACACTATCGCTTTCACTGCATTGCCTGCTAATCAAGGACAACTGGCCGGTGTTTGCGGAACGTTGACAAATGCATTGATCGTTATCACCGGGACTAAGCAAAACAAAAACAA